CTGAAGGAGTGATCGCTGACGTTCCCGGCAATGGTGTTGTGCCACGGCCGGCGGTCACAACCGACGACGACGCGCCCACGCTGGTCGTGGAAGGCCAGAAAGACGTCGACCCTGAGCCTGACGGACCTGTACGACCCGAAAAAAAAGCTGAAGGTGTACGTCGGGCCAGCTGTTGTTCGATCACAAGGGCCCGTTGATGGGCATCCAAAACAGATTCTGGCGCGAATAAAATGAGCATGTCCTGGATTGGTAATCGAAGCATGCCAATGTAACGAGAGATAAGTTGGTCCGACGTCTCACGCACATCCAACCTCGAGAGTAGACGATAGAAATGCTCAGTATATTCATTAAAAGAACTTTGACCTTGTCGTAAATTCTGGAATTGCATAAACAACGAACGCATATAGTTGTAAGGAAGAAACTCACGGTCCATATGCTTGCGAAACTTTGCCCAGGCTTTGATCTTAGGTTTACCCTGTCTGCGCCTCGTCGCCTTGAGCTGGTTCCACTCGCGAATTATCGGGAACCTCCTTAAAGTCGAGGGCGAATTCGACTGCGGCCACCTAATCCAGAAATTCCGACGCCTCAATCCCGCCGGTAAATTCTGGAATTTCTACACGAAACGAAGATTTCCAATGCGTCTCGTCGGTCGAAACATCATCGTGGCGGTCTGGATGTCCAAAGGGGTTCTCCTCGGAGACGGTGTTGTCGTCGTCCTCCTCGTCGCTGGCCCACGAAGGAGGTGACCGGGAGCGGGGCGCCCCGCGTTGACCCCGGCCGCGACCACCGCGCGTTCCCCCGAGCCGTCCGCCACGGCCTCGGTTCGTCTGATTGCCGTGGACGCCGGTATGGAGCACCAGTGCGATTTCCTCGATCCTTGCAGAAAGATTCGCCATGACCCGATCAGACGCGTCGCTGCTTTCTAGGAGAGATTCGATAGCGGCGTCTCGACGTTCATCAGCCTCATTCCACTTCGGAGGCATCTTGGATCGCGTCTGGTCTCGTGATACCAACTGACGCAGCAAAAGCAACAAAAACGAAAGGAACAAGAACAATTTTACGAACGATAAATTTTTATTTCTTCAAAGTCTGCCTCTCACAAATGCATCAGCACCCTAAATAAAGACAGAGTCCTACTATTTTAAAAATCTCATCTTGAATAATAAGATGAGAATAAGGAAAAGAAAATAAATATTCACCTAAAGAAAGAAAAGGCAAAGGAAATAATAATAATGATGAAAATAGGTAATAATTAATTAAACTAACGACACTAAACGATCATGCCGATCCAAGAATGCGAGGGCAATCTCGTTTTCATCATAGTTGCTTAATAATTTCACCAAAACAAACTAGAAGGCATATGAAAAAATACATATCTTTTTTGGGATTCTCGGATCACCCATTTTTAAAAACAGGGTCGAGCAGCTTTGATATATTGGAAGGCCATTCATTCAAAAGATATCATGCTTTTGATATGTAAGAATACATTACTGCCCAGGGAATTCCAACGTCATTTTTCTTCAAATATGGTTGTGAGAGGATGACTTCATGGCTGCAAAATTTATTAAGTATTATTCTTTTTTTTTTTTGGTACAGGGACCTTCCGGTTTCCGGATCCACAGGGGAACCGACTAATCCAGAATCGAGTCGGGTAGGACCACAAGGGCGGCAAAGCTCTCCCTCAAGAGTTTTAACACTGCTGCATTTTCAGGGTTCGAACACGAGACTAATAGTTAAGCTGGAAGAGACTCAAGTCATCTCATCCAAGCGCTCTTTGGTTAATTATTATTCTTCAACTTATAATACTTTGACTTCATAGGCTTGTGAGGAGCAATGAGCTTGGTGGTGTGGATGGGCCAACGCCTAAAATACCTGAGTTTGATTAATTAATATATGAGATTTTGTTAAGTACATGAATAGTATCGATTTTCGGAGTTCGAATAACCGAGCACTTTTATACAAACTGAACCCAAAACCAAAATTTTAATAAGGTTTCAATTTTTGTCCAAACAAAATTTATGATTTCAATCGGTTAATCAAATTATGTGCGTATCCCTAAGAATAGACATAGTCACAGGTTGACCTGACCCGTAGATCGGCTCGGAACCGGCCCACCCTAGTCGGGTTTGAACCGGCCCATAACCCCTTAAAGGCCAGTTAAAGGTTATGTTGTACCCATTTTTTACCCGTTGGGCCAGGCCCAGCCTAGGTATTCCGACGAGTCACGGTTATAATTTTATTTTATTTTTTCTATTTTTTTTAGGAACCGGCAGTCCAATGAACCACCGAGCCACGCCGGTTCATATAGGCAGGCCATTTACGGGCATAGGATTTGAGACCTGTCGACCCAGCGGGCCAGGCCGGGCCGTGAACCGGCCCGAGCTTTGGCCACGTCTACCTAAGAGAAATCTCCATGTCTTCGCTTCGAAGAAAATCAAAACAGTCAGACACCTTGAGAGGAAAATTCGTGTCTTCCCTTTCAAGGAAAGAAGCATCTTTTGTCCTTGTAACACCCAAAATAAACTCTTACCAGCACACAGGCGCACGCGCAAAAGGATTAATAACAAAGGAAATCATGGGTAAAGAAAACAATCCTGAAAAAAATAAAAATAAAAAAATAAAAAATAAAAACCACCGCACAACAAGGACTGAGAGAGGCCTAATTCATTTAGCCAACTCTACATAACATTAAAAATATGTTAATCAAACCTAAATAAAGACACACCCACACCAGACAACATGTAACTGAATCCAAATCTGCTGTCACAATTAACAAAGCATCATGTAGAAGGCTTATTTAATTGAAGTCAGACCTAATGAACACAAGTCAGATCAAGGCAATGCTGCTCTCCCCACCCGGTGGCTTGCGGACCCCTCCAAAGTAGTCCCGGGACTCTGACTTCCCATCGGCAAATATATTGCTTCCGCTCATCTCCCGCAGCTTGGCTGAACTCATAGGCTTCTCAGCTGACGCAGTGGGACCCACGCCGTCTCCCTTAAAAATGTTGTTCCCCAAAAGCTCCGAAAATTTCTGATCAGGAATCTTCTTGGATGTCTTCATCACCGATGGCTCACTTGACCCACCGTTGGTCTGCCCATCCAAACCCTTTTAAACAAAATAGTTAATTCAGATTCAATACAAGCATGAAAACTGGGAATGTTTGGATTCAATCATTTATATTTGTGCATAAGAGAATTTATGTGTTGAGTTATGAGATATGTGTGGTTCACCATTTTCAACATGCTTTTTCACTTTTTGTTAAAACATGGTACAGGTAATCTATGTTGAAGAGTATCAACACAATGAGTGCTTGTTACATCTTATATCCAAGAATCCAAAGAAATTTTTAGGCGTTGAAAGAGAAAATACATCTTACATTTCTTTCCCCAATGATGGTAAATTACAAAACCATCCCAATGTTTTGAGGCAGTGAAGGAGAAAACCCAAAGAAATTTCAAAATCATGCAAAAAAACCCTTGAAGTCTGGTACCATCATCCAAAAACCGTTTTGAAACCTCACCGACCCACATGTAGTAAATATATTGGTTAACTTTATTTTTTGATTATCACAAACTTTGTGGTTAGTGTTTATGCAATTTTTCCTTAATCTTTCTCCAATTCACCTTAAATATCATATAGATAGATAGATTGGAATGGACTCGAGACGAGAATATGGTCACTTACATTTTGAGATGTGGGTTCCCCAAATGTGATGCTTTCTCTTAAAGCCAATGCCCGAGCAGACAACGGGCGAGGTTGAATTTCAGGGGGTGGAGCAAATATACCGTTGCCACTGAGCTCCTTGTTTTTGGCATCAGAAATTTGTTTCCTCAACTTGGCTTCCGATTCGCTTTCCAGATTCCCACTCAGCTCCCGCTGCTTTGCAACTTCCGGAAGAGTGGTAGGTTTCTTGAGAGAGACAGTTTCTTCTTCACCGAATGAGATATGACTCACACCAGCCAATGCTTGCTGGGATATGTAAAGCCATCAATAAGTTGTAGATATTGAATTTTCAGATGCATCTTGCATTTCGATTCATAATCTTGGGAAGTAACACAAACCAGATCAAAACTAATAGTTTCTCTTGTAAAATACCCAAGGCATCAGGGGTGCTTTTTGTAATTGTACCTTGATGAGTAGTGAAGATTTCACCATATACCTGATACATTCGCAGCCCTGTTTTGTTTGTTGGGGTTTGGCTCTCGTCCTCAGTCTCTAATGCTCCATCTTCTTCTTTTGGTTTAAAAATACCACTACCACTCATTTCCTTCATTTTATAGCCAGAGCAAGGTTTCCTGGAACATCCAAACGCCACACGGGTCGTTTTTTTATTTTTTTTTATTGGAAGGGAAAAAGTAGCGAGAAATTTTCCATTGTACAAATTAGTCAAGCCATGCCAAAACTTCAATAGTATTTGAAAATATTGAAAGAATGTCAGCTCTCGATGAACCCGATCACAAAAGAAGTTCTAGATAATCAAACTATTGATTGTTTTAAAATTTAACTTTTTTTTTAAGGTGTAAGCTATTGGTTCAGTAGAGAACTTATAAGGTTTGATTCAATCTGCTAGTGATATGGAGATTTTACTCATATTATAACGTGCCATTTTATTTTATTTTCTTTACTTTTTTGGTGAATGTCCTTCAAATGGTGCCTTGGGCATAAATCCGTTAATCTATGCTATACGAAATCAATAAGCTTAACGACAGAGTCTTACGACCATCGGTAGACCTCACTGATATCATCGGAAAAAGAACAGATTTTTTAATAAATAAGGAATCTCAGTAAATCTGAACGAACTACAAGGATTTCTACCAAACAAGATCAATTGCAAAGATCCATACACAAGGTCTTTGGAATGTATTTTCTCGAAGTACTCCTCATCCTCTGTTCCCAAGAAAACAAAACATAATGTATGAGTTCTCCAGTAATTTTTATCACAATTTCACATTTTCCAGGATTCTCATCCAAATATATTTCCTCAGTTATATATTTCAGGAAAATTTGTAAAAAAATTCAAACTTATAACTAAAATTTACTAAGTTAACTAAGAACGGTAGCTGAATCAAGGTAGAAATGACAATTAGATCTTACTACAATAAAAAAGGCAGAGGATAAAATGGCAACATCAAACAAGAACAGAAGCCAACAAAAAAAAATTCCCTGGCATACATTTATTGCAAAATTCACTTAAAAATATCATAAAGGGCAAAAAAATTAATGAAAAAATAACAATAATAATGATAAAAAATTTTGATTTAAAGCAGGTAGATCTCTAACCTTTTATTCAAGCTCTCAACTTCTTCATCAGTAACCTGACCTCCAAAAACAACTTTGCTGATCCCATCCGACGGCTGTGATTCAAAACTAAAAAATTAAAGGAAAAAAAAAAACAGGAGAATCACGAATGGGACGGACATAATCGATAATGTACGGCGTTACCAGGTGAGAGCGGGCGGTAGCGGGGGAAGATTCCGGCGGATTCTCCGACCAAGTGAGCAGATCTGCCGTCGAAGTGTGAGGCTTCTTCATCGGAGTTCTCTTGTCCATGGCTGCTCACAAAGAGTGACCTGTAAGAATTTGTGAAATTCAAATGAGTCTTGAACTGGGTATCGTCTGAAATATAACAAACTGAGGAAAGTGATGAGACCGGAAATGACGATTTTGCCCTCACGAGATTTCTTGCGTAAGTTGCGTTTCGTTTGCTTGTTGGTTCAGCTGCTTGAGACTTGAGAGAGACACTGCACAACAATTTACAACATTAGTGTGCATTTGATATATTTTGAAAGTTTAAACTTTAAATGTATTAAAATTAATTAATCCATTACCTGATTGTCTCGTAAATGTGTATAAAATATTCCTTAAATTAATGTATACCAAGTCATCTGACCAAATTGCAGCAAATCTGGTCGTTTGAATTTAGGAAGGCAACCAAATTAATACAAGAATAGTTGTGGCCCGTGCAATGCACGATACAAATTAAAAAATTCATAAATTGTTGAATATTTTCTTGTAAATAACGTTTTGCTTTGATTTGGTGGCGAGTCATCGTCACCACATACTAATAATTTAAATAATTTTAACATATAGATTCGATAACAACAAACAAACAACAACATAGTTTTTTCGTCTCAAGCAAGTTGAGGTATACTAGAGATGAAACCCAAGAAAACTAATGGTAAGCTAGTGTTTGGTTCAGGGAAAATGAAGGGGAGGGGAAGGGAGGAGATGGAACTTTTTAATTTTCTCTTGTTTGGTTCAATTTTGTGTAAGGGGAGGGGGTAGAATTTTCCCTTCAACTCCCTCCTCCAAGGGAAAATGTGCTCCCCTCCAAAAGTGGGGGAATTTGGAGGGGAGGAAAAATTTTTAACATCAAATTACTCTTTTTACCTTAATATATAAATTATTCTATTTTTTTGTTTCTTACATCATTAAGGGTCCAACTGAACCAAAAGAGAAAGGACAAAAAGTCACGGTTCTAGCACGTCGATTGCTAGCCTCCAAGCGCTCCTATCCACCGCTAAATCCTTGGAGATATTCCAATCTTTAAGGTCTCTCTTAACCGACTCTTCCCAAGTGAGTTTAGGCCGACCTCTACCTCTCTTTACATCATCGACCCGCTGTAGAACTCCCTTACCACCAGTACATCAGGAGGCCTTCGTTGGACATGTCCGAACCACCTCAGTCGATGTTGAACCAATTTCTCCTCAATTAGAGCCACCCCGACCCTATCTCGAATATCCTCATTCCGGGTTCTATCCCTTCATGTGTGCCCGCAACACCAACATACGCATCTCTGCTACACTTAGTTGTTGGACATGTTGCCTTTTTGTAGGACAACATTCAGCACCGTATAGCATCGTCGAGCGAATCGTCGTCCTATAGAACTTACCTTTTAGCCTTTGTGGCACCCTCTTATCACAGAGAACGCCCGAAGCTTGACGTTATTTCAACCAACCGACTGCAATTTTATGCCTAACATCTTCATCAATGTCGCCATCCTTTTGTAGCATCGATCCTAAATATCGGAAAGTCTCCTTCTTGGCCACCACTTGCCCGTCAAGGCTAACGTCACCATCATCATGTGTAGCCATGCTGAAAGCACCCGTCATGTACTCGGTCTCCGTCCTACTAAGTTTGAAGCCTTTCGACTTTAACGTGTCCTTCCACAGCTCTAACTTCTTATTTACCCATGTCCTACTCTCGTCAACTAGCACCACATCATCAGCAAAGAGCATACACCAAGGGATATCACCTTGTATGTCCCTTGTGTCCTCATCCATCACCAAGGCAAATAAATAATGGCTCAATGTTGACCCCTGATGTAGTCCTATTTTAGTAGGAAAGTCGCTGGTATCGCCCCCATATGTTTGGACACACGTCATCGCATTCTTGTACATATCCTTGATGAGGGTAATGTACTTAAATTGGACTTTGTGCTTTTCTAAGGCCCACCACATGACATTCCTCAGTACTCTATCATAGGCCTTCTCAAGGTCGATAAAGACCATGTGCAAGTCCTTCTTTTGGTCCCTATATCTCTCCATCAACTGTCGTATTAGGAAAATCGCCTCCATGGTCGACCTTCCAGGCATAAACCCAAATTAGTTTTGGGTCACACTCGTCACTCGTCGTAGGCGATGCTGGATAACCCTCTCCCAGAGCTTCATCGTATGGCTCATCAACTTAATCCCATTGTAGTTACCACAACTTTGAACATCTTCCTTGTTCTTGAAGATCGGTACTAAAGTACTTCTCCTCCATTCATCAGGCATCTTGTTTGACCGAAAAATGAGGTTAAAAAGCTTAGTTATCCATACTAACGCTTTGGCGCCCAAGCATCTTCACGACTCAATGGGGATACCATTAGGGCCCATTGCTTTACCTCCCTTCATCCTTTTCATAGCCTCTCCGATCTCTGCCTCCCAAGGTTCTCCTCACCAAGCGTCTATTAATATCATCAAAGGACTCATCCAACTCCAGGGTAGGACCCTCACTCTTTCCATTAAACAATTTGTCGAAGTACTCTAGTCATCTGTCCTTGATCTCCCCATCCTTCACCAGTGGCCGATCCGACCCATCCTTGATGCATTTGATTTTGTTGATGTCCTTTGTCTTCCTTTTCCGAATCCTAGCCATCATATAAATGTCCTTCTCTCCCTCCTTCGTGCCTAGGCGCTGATAAAGGTCATCATAGGTCTGACCCTTCGCTACACTCACGGCACGAGTTGCAGTCCTCTTCGCTATTTTATAGCTCTCAATGTTGGTTGCACTTGTCAAGGTGGAGATGCTTGAAACACTCCTTCTTCTCTTGAATAGCCCTTTGCACCTCGTCATTCCACCACCACGTGTCTTTCGCTTCCTGCTTGCCTCCCCTACTCACACCAAGTACTTCTGCAGCAACCTTTCGTACACATGTTGCCATCTTTAGCCATATGTCATCTGCATCTTCTCATTCTTCCTAAGACCCCTCGATTAGCATCATATCCCTAAACGTTTGCGCCGCTTCCCCTTTAAACTTCCACCACTTTGTTCTCACGGTCCTGGCACATTTGTCTCGGTGGACACGTATTTGGAATCGAAAGTACGACACCACCAACTTATGCTGGAAAAAAACACACTCCCCAAGTATCACCTTGCAATATATGCAAGCGCGTCTATCCTCCCTCCTCGCAAGGATAAAGTCGATCTGACTTGAGTGTCGTCCACTATGGATGGTCACTAGGTGAGATTCCCTCTTCCTAAAGAGGGTGTTCGCTATCAACAAGTCGTAGGCCATCGTAAAGTCCAACACACCCTCCCTCTCTTCGTTCCTCCTACCATACCTAAACCCCCCGTGCACTCTCCCGAAACCTACATTAGTCGCACCCACATGGCCGTTTAGGTCTCCTCCTACGAAGAGCTTCTCGCTGGCAGGCACCGTACTAACCAAGGTATCCAGATTCTCCCAGAATTGCCTCTTGGCGCTCTCTCTAAGATCTACCTGAAGGGCATAGGGACTGATCACATTCATGGTCAAGTCTCCAACTACCAATCGGACTAGGATAATCCGGTCGCCTTGCCTCCTAACATCTACAACTCCATCCTTAAGGCTCCTATCGATGAAGATGCCTATACCATTCCTACTTGATGAAGGTCTAGTGAACCAAAGCTTGAAGCCAGTATCCTCCACCTCCTTCGCCTTTTGTCCCTTCCATTTAGTCTCCTGGATGCATGGGATATTTACACGCCTCTTAGTAGCTGCATCGACTAGCTCACGCAGCTTACCCGTTAGGGACCCTACGTTCCAACTACCTATACGAACCCTAGTTAGTTCGACTAGCTTCTTTGCCCTTCGCACCCGTTGAGAAAGATGCGAAGACCCTTGCTCATTTTCCACTACACTCGGGCGCCGATGTAGCGCACCACTAAAGAAATGACGACCCGGCCCTTGCTCACTTAACACCATGCCCAAACCACGACATGGCGCGTCACCGAGGGGGAGACGACCCAGCCCTTGACCATTTGACATCATACCCGGGTTCCGAAATGGCGCATCGCTAAGAGGGTTACGCCCCAACGAATTTCTCATGTGTTTCATCTCCATAGAACGGCTAGGTTTTACGTTGGCTCGTCAAGTCTATCACAACCCTCCTCCTTTATGAACAACATCTCCAAAAAAAATATTTACCTCTTTATCATTGAAATTTATTTCCATCTACTTGGTTTCGAATTTTCTTTCAAATATACGAACAACACTCAATGTCGAGTATATATTTTTTTTTTTTTGGGAAACCGAACTAAAAAACACTACACGAGCTGCACATTGATATGATGGAAAAAATAAAATTAGTTGGTATCTATAGATTAGGGATTGAAAAAAGTGCTAAAAGATGTGGTAAATGATTTGTATGATTGACTATTTATATAAATGTCGTATATTATTTGTGTGAAATGTAATATATGGTTCTAATTAAAACAAAAATTATTCTAGATTTGTGATGTTTACATTTGGTCCGACTTATTTTGCGATAAGATAATAACGAAATTTTTAAATGAGATATATTTTATTATCTGCTTAAAATTTTACTAACATAAAATAAGAAATATTCGAATGTTTTAAGAATTGTTTTAACTGGATCTCCTTAGAATTATGTAACAAAATTGCGAAAGATTTTTTTGTATATATAATTTAATCCGATATTGCAATAAAAATATAAAAAAGTTTTAAGAATGATATATTTCTTGTTACAAGTGAATGTTCCCTAAAAATATGGTAAAAATTTAATAGCTTTTTTATTATCCGATGACATGTGAAACTGAAATTCTTTAACATGTTTATTTATTTAGATGTGTTTTATGAAAAAATAAAGGTAAAATTAAATTTAATTGATGTAGATTTATATTTATTATTCGTGCATATGATTATTTAATTAAATAAGTTCGTTATTTATTTATATGTAAATTCGAATGGTGGATTTATAATTGGTCAAATTATATGTAAACCAAAATTTCGAATTACATTTGTGTTAATTTATGTCATTTTATGCATGTTAATTACGAAGGACAAA